CCCGGGGCCGCTCGGGCGCTTCTCTGGATGCGGGCGGAAAAAAAAAAACTATCCCCCTGACGTTTTCCTCGTGCGCCATGAGGTCATGGAACAGGCCGCGTCGTCGCGCGCGTGCGCCCGGAGCCGTCGGCGCTTGCTTCTGCTGCCGGCGTTTGTTTTCCTTGGCTGCCCTCGCCGCATAGCGCCAGCGCTGGCGCCCGAGTCTCGTACGCAGATTTACGTCCTTTCCCGTTACGGCGCTCGGGTCGAGCGAGCTCCGGCTCTTGTTTTGAATCGTGAGTCGCGGTCATTGCCTCCCTTCGCCGCGGCCACTGCAGCCGCCTAACGCCGACGATCGGGCAGAAGGGCGGGCGACCCTCCGCGCCGGCGCGTTTGTTCGCAAAGTCTGCCGGCGTGCTAATGTGGTTGCCATTACCACCGCGTGGGCGCGGGGCAGCTCAGGACACGCTCCTCCCCATCCTCGTCGCGGTGGGGGGGGGGGGGGGGGGCGGCGTTTCTGAGAATTAAATCTGGAGACGCCGGTTCCAGTTCGGCGCGTGCGGCCCATCCGTGGCCTCACGGCCCCGCCGAGCAGCAGGGGGGGCTCCCCCCCCCCCCCCCCCCGCATGACGGCCGGCCCCCGTGCGGCTCCGGCGACGCGGCGTCGCTGTCCGCTCGGACTCACCGGGGGACTCGCGGGAGACTGAGTGGGCTCCGGGTGGCATGGAGGGCCTCTCCTCGGGGCGCCGGGGAGGGAGCGGTAGCGGTCTCTTCGCCCCACGAGTTCCCCTGCAGGCCACAAAACTCGACCCCGCCACGCACCAAACCAAACGACTTAATTGCGATTCCTGAGCTGAAGGTCGACGGTGGCCGATTATTTCTCCCTCCCCTCCCTTCCCTCCCTCCCTCCCTCCCCCCTCCCTCCCGGGCCCGCGATTTATTTGCGCGAAGCGTGGGGAGGGAGCGGAGGTGCGGACGTGTAATTGTGTTGACATTCCTGCCGGTGTTCCCGGGGGTGACGCGTCGCTCCGCGGGGAGCCCCCTCGCCGCTCCTCCCCTCCCAGCGAACCCCAACGAACCTCGGCCCCCCCCCCCCGACGTCGCCCGCCCCCTCCCCCGCGGTTATATAATTGGGGTCGGCACGGGAATGCAAGTTCTCCGCGTCGGCGCGGCTTGGACGTGGGGATTAAGCGGGGGGCTGCGCTCGTGGTTTCTCTGCCGCACGGCGGGCGCCATCCCTCACCGGGGCGGGGGGGGGGGGCGGGGAGGGGCGGGTGGCCCGTGGGGGCCAGCCTGGCGGGCCGTGCGTGCGTGTACGCGCCCGCCGCCCCGCGCACTCCGCCCAAACCAGCGCCGCATTCCTGCTTCGGAGAGAGTCGCGTTTGTGTTTGCCCGTCGCGGGCAACGCGCCGAGGGCGCGCACGAAGCGCGACGCGTCCGGAGGGTGCGCGCCTGGCGCCCGCCCGCTCTCCGCGACCATCGCGCCCCGTGCGTGTACGCGGCGGGTGTACGAGCTCTGCGTGCGCGCGTGCCTTGGCGCGGAGGCCGCGCATCTCAGCCGTTGCAACAAAAATGGGGGCGATCGATATTCGCTGCGAAAGAACAACGGGAGGCGACGCGCGTGTGTGCGCGCGTGCGTGTGTGCGTGTGTGCTTGCCTTTGACGGCTGCCGAGGGCTGTTGGCCAGACCGACACGCACACACGCGCACACACACGCGCACACACACGCGCACTCCGTTTACCCAACACAGAGTGCGCTTCAACACGACGATGCTCGAGAATTCACTTCTCACCAAAATATTTTCTATGTCGACGTTCGACCGGAGCATGCGGCACATGGCTAGTGGTCGCGCCAGTCGCCACGGTCATATTGAGACATACGCTGGCTGCGGTGTGTCAGGGTGCGTATACGTTTTCTGGCTCGCCGCTGCCCGCCGAGCGGATCCCATGCGGCGGGGACGACTTGGACGACGCCGGCCGTCGTGGTGTTTTTTGAGTCCGGCACCCAGCGCCGTGCACGGAGAGCAAATGGGCGCAGGGCCCCTCCGCTTCTCCCCCCCAGACTCGAGAGTTCGCGCTCCGCCAACGGCTCCACGAGCGAGCGTTTTTTTAGTATATATTTTTTTTTTTGCTATTGGAGGAAACCGGAGAACCCGCGGGAAAAACCGTCGGAAACACGGTGGGGGGACATACGGACTCCGCGCAGTCGGGTGCCCGCCCCGAGTCAGCAGCCGAACCCTGCCGCCAAAATTATTTGCCAGCGCGGCGTCGGCAATGGGTGCAGCACAAGCACGCAACAAAGTGTTGGCGCCTTCGTCGATGACACCGTGGCCTTAGAAGGGATGCGCTCCCAAGCAGGGCCGTTGCCTGAAACGTTACCGGCTTAGTGGTAGGCTCTACATTCTTAAGCCCTTTCGCCGCATACCGATTTATTATCTCATTCTATAATCGCTGTCACATGTTTGCCGTTAAGTTCACCGAAAGATGGTTCGAACGCGGGGGCCGGACGCTTCGCTGTTTACGTTCGGCAAGTCCGCGGTGGAGGGGAAATGGCCGTGGCGATGGCGATGGAGGTGCACGGCAGTGATGCAGAGCACCAGAGAGGCAAGGGTTGGTGGATCACGCGGAGAATTTGTGCAAACCTTCGATAAGCCCCGCCGGGCGGTAAGGGCAGCGCGCGCGTCGATTCAATCGCTCGTTGAGTGACGCGAATCGATGCAAACGGCGTGTGACAACGCGAGTGCGTTGCGCATGACGTGCGCAACGCACCTGCTGCAGCAGCAGCATGGGCGGTTCTACCTCGGTGCTTCAATGGGGGCGCTTGGGTATCACACGTTGACGATGGACAGGAAGAGGGGCACGTGGGCTGGAGGACACGCGCTCGTTATTGGTAGCATCGGCCGCTCCGCTAATGCCAGACGCGGCATAACGGCCAGAAGAGCGGGATGACGGTCGACGAGGATGGAGACGGAGCGCGTTTGGGGCCCACGTCCACCACGGAGATGGAGCGACATTGAAATCGGTTCGCGTGCGGGTGCTGGGCGGACGTCACTATCGTGACATCTCCCCTGACTGATTGATTGCCATGGATTATTGTTTTTGATAATAATGATAATGCATCGTGATAATAATCACGGGGCTCGGACGGAAGTGCCGCCCTCGGTGGCGCCGGGAGTCGGCGCCACCGCCATCGGCCCCTGGTGCGCCACGCCAGCCTTCATAGGCCGCTCGCTAAGAGCACTTGCCCCAACAGTCTGTGTAGGCTACACGGGGGGGGGGGCGGGGGGGCGTCTTTGTCTTTGTGCCACGCGCCTCCAGCCGGGCCGGAGAGCAGTCGACCCAGCAGGCAAACTAGGCGAGGCCCCGTGACGATGGCGCAAGCCGCCGGGCCGTCGGGACATTGGCGACGCCGACGACCCTGGCCGACGCGGCCGCGGAGACGGAGAGAGCGGCCATGGCGGCGGCGGTCGCCGATCCCGGCGGCAGAGTTCGCGCGGTCAGTTCGACGTCGAGCTTGGGCGAAGCCGGGCGACGTCCTCCTGACGTCGCCCGGCTTCGCCGCCCGCGTGCGCACGCGCAGGGAGGGGTTAATCTGGAGCCGAGCCGCGCCGCAGCCAAAGGCGTAAACACGGCGGCGCGGCCAGGACCGGGGCGGGGGTGCGGGGGTGGAGGGAGGGAGAGGGGGGGTGGGGAGGTGGGGGGGGGGCAGTTGGAAGGACGCAGCCGCCAGGGTCCATTACGCAGCGCGTTGCCCAGGCATGCGCGCTCGCTGTTCCTACGCGCGCTCGCTGGGAAGCGGACGATTGTGCGTGTACACGCGCGCCCGCGCGCTGGCGGTCGCTCGGGGTGACGGCGCCGCTCCGCCGATCGTACTGGATTCCGGGTCGCGGGGTAATTTATTAAACGCGCATTTTAATTGCGTCGCCGCTTACGCCCCGCAGCTGCCGGGCCAATTCCATCGGCGAGGGATCGCCGGCGTTCGCGCGGCTCGCTGCGCCGCCGAGCGCGGCCGTCGGCGTGCGCCGGACGGCCGCGTCGGTTGCGCTCACGACGACGCGGATTTTTTTTTGCCCGCGGTGACCGGCGAGGGGAGGATCTGACCGGACGACAAAAACGCGGGCGGCGCCTCTGCGGCTCAACCCCCGCGACCTCGCTCGCCGTGCCCATGCCGGGAGCCCGCCGTGCCGGTCGCCGGGAGTTCGTGGTGGCCGCGCAGTGCCGGTGGTGGCCACCGGGGGGTGGTGGTACCGTTTGATTGGCCACCCTCGGGAGGAGTCCGTCGGGGGGCAAGGGGCAGAAGTGACGGTGAAGGAAGGAGAAGTCCTGCTGGGCGTGCGGTGAAGTAAAGGCATTCGGTTACGTGACTAACGGAGCGTGGTTAGGTGAAGGTGTGTGGTTACGTGAATAGCGGAGCGTGGTTAGGTGAAGGCGTGTGGTTACGTGAATAACGGAGCGTGGTTAGGTGAAGGCGTGTGGTTACGTGAATAACGGAGCGTGGTTAGGTGAAGGCGAGTGGTTACGTGAATAACGGAGCGTGGTTAGGTGAAGGCGAGTGGTTACGTGAATAACGGAGCGTGGTTATGTGAAGGCGAGTGGTTACGTGAATAACGGAGCGTGGTTAGGTGAAGGCGTGTGGTTATGTGAATAACGGAGCGTGGTTAGGTGAAGGCGTGTGGTTACGTGGCTAACGGAGCTTGGTTAGGTGAAGGCGTGTGGTTACGTGAATAACGGAGCGTGGTTAGGTGAAGGCGTGTGGTTACGTGAATAACGGAGCGTGGTTAGGTGAAGGCGTGTGGTTACGTGAATAACGGAGCGTGGTTAGGTGAAGGCGTGTGGTTACGTGGCTACCGGAGCGTGGTCCGGCCGCTCGGCCTGCTGGAAGTGCAGAGGTCCACGCGCCTAGAGGAGGCGTGTTGTCTGATTATTTTACTTCTCGTGTGTTGCGCGCGGGCGCCTCGCCGCATTTGCACCGTGCGTTCTGTAATTTTGTGTCGTGCGCCACGTCGTGTATCGTGTCGCAGGTGAGACCGGGATGCTTCGTGCCGTTCACCGTGGCCTTCACCGCTAGCGTCCGGCACCGCACCTGCATCCCACGGCCGGTCCCGCTGTGCGGCTGCACCACCCGCCCACATGGAGTACGGCGTCGGCAGCATCGTCAGCATCAGCGGTAGGAGCAGCAGGAGGATTTAGGCGGCGCCCCGTGCCGTGTGCGCGCCGGCGATCGCACAGCGGCGGCGATGGCGAGCGAGCAGCGGCTCACGCCGGCGCCGGCGTTTCTCAACCTCCCGTCGGGCGCGCTGCACCAGGACTCGGCGCTCAAGGCGGCCGCCGCCACGTGGATCAGCTTCTCGTCGGCCGTGGCCGCTCAGCGGGCCCAGCAGCAGCAGCAGCAGCAGCAGCTCGGCCGCGCCGCCTCCTCATCCCCGCCGCCGATGCTGGCGCCGCCCCATTCGCGCGCCGGCGACCGCTACGGCGACGACTCCCGCCGTCGCGGGGACGGCCGCCGCGACTGCGACGACGGGGACGACGAGGAGGACGAGGATGACGAGGATCGCCCGCAGGATCTGAGCGTGCGGGGGCGGTGCCGCGCGGCATCGGCACCGTCTCCCGCGCCGCCGCCGCCGCCGCCGCCGGCGCCGCAGTCGCGCGGCTCGGCGGGCGGCCGCTACGAGTGCAAGCACTGCCACCTGGCGACGCAGGACTTCGGCCTGTTCACGTGCCACGTGGACACGGCACACCCCAACGTCGTGGTGAACCCCGTGTACATCTGCCGCGCGTGCGACTTCCGCACGGCGCGCCAGGGCGCCTTCGCCGAGCACAACTCGCGGCACCACCCGTCGCTCAACAGCATGCGCCTGCGCGTCATAAAGCGCCAGGACCAGACCATCCTGGAGCAGAGCCCCGCCAGGCCCGCCAAGGGCCAGCCGCTGTCCATCTGCGACGGCGACAACGGACGCTCGGACGGCCGCCGGTTCAGGTCGGCGGCAGACGAGGGCGACGCGGCGGGGGCGGCCGGGGCACAGGGTCGCGCCGGGCCGCTCGAGCGCCACGCCACGGCGCAGCAGGCGAAGGCCGCGGCCGCGTCGGCGGCGGACGCCGACGGCTCGCCGAAGACGCTGGCCGTGCTGCCGGCCGGCGTCGGGCTGGGCCAGGCGGTGCGGCTGAGCGACCTCTACCCTCCCGACGCCGGCCTCTCCAAGGGCGCGCTGGCGCTCAACGTGACCCAGCCGGCGGCCTTCCAGATCTTCAACCCGGTGCTGCACCACATCGTGCAGGGCCCGCAGCAGAACCTGCAGCAGCAGGTGGCGCTGCACGCCGCGGCCTCGCCCTACGGCGGGCACGGGCAGCAGTCGCACGCCGTGCAGAGGCTGTCGCCGGCAGCGCTCGGCGGGGGCCTGGGCTCCGTGGTGTCCATCCTGAGCGTGGTGGACCCCGACCCGGCGATGGACGCGAACCCGCACCTGGCGACGGCGTTCGCGCGCTTCCCGTACCCCTCGCAGGGCGACGTGTCGTGGCTGGCGTCCGTGACGCCCTTCTCCGAGGAGCGCATCCGCAGCTGGTTCGCGGCGCGGCGCGTGCAGAGCGGCATCAGCTGGTCCCCGGAGGAGATCGAGGAGGCGCGGCGGCAGCTGATCGCCAACGCCATCGCGGCGCTGGGCGCGGGGCTGTTCGGCGGCGGCGGCGGCGGCGGCGGCGGCGCCGCGGGCGCGTTCGGCCTAAGCCTGGGCCACCTGGGCGCCGGCGGCGTGCTGGGAGGGCAGCCGGGCGGCGCTTCCGCGCCCGTCATCGCGGTGCTGCCCAGCCCCATCGTCATCCCCGCGCAGCAGGCGCAGCAGGGCCCGCAGCAGGGCCCGCAGCTCGTGCCGCACAGCGTCACCTACCAGATCATCAATCAGATCATCAACAACAACGGCGGCGGCGGCGGCGGCAGCACCAGCTGCAGCACCAGCGCCAGCACCATCAGCAACCACGAGGGCGGCGCGGGGGGCCTCGTGTTCAAGCGCGCAGCGTCGGAGCGGCACGAGGAGACCGGCGGCGACGGGGAGGAGGTGGCGGGAAAGTTCGGGGCGAGCGCTCGCGCCAGGGACTGCGCCCACAAGCCCTGGAGGACGCCGCCCCACAAGCGACCGTGCGACGGCTTCGACGCCGGCGCCGGCAGCCCCAGGCGCCCGGGCTGCGGAAAGGGGCCGCACGGCACCGACGAGGAGTGCCGGAGCCGCGAGGCCTCCAAGCAGTTTTCGGCCATCGCGCCCAAGCTGCTGCCCGTCGCGTCGCAGCTGTCGAACATCCGCACGGAGGGGACGGACGCGGCAACCCCGGCGGCGCCGCCCACGCCCGGCGCCGCCGGGGCGTGGGCGGCGCCGCCGGACGGGGGGGCCTCCCCGGCCACGGCGCCGCCACCCGTCGCGGGCGCCGCGCCGCCGTCGAGGACGGGGCCGCCAGCCCCGACGGAGCCGCCGTCGTCGTCGTCGCGGGGGCCCGAGCCGGCGCCCGGCGCGGGCTCCTCTGCGTCTGCGCCCAACCTGAGCCCGCTGCTCATGTCGCCGCTGTGGCTGCCGGTGGCCAAGCGCAGCCGCAAGCACAAGAAGAGCAAGGAGCAGCTGGCGCAGCTGAAGGCGAGCTTCGCCCGTGAGCAGCACCCCGACGAGGCGGAGCTGCGCAGGATCATGGAGCGCACGGGCCTCACCAAGTCGGAGGTGAAGAAGTGGTTCAGCGACAGCCGCTACCACTACCGCAACCTGCGCTGCCCCGGCACGCGCTTCTTCAGCCGCAACCTGCCCACCATGTGCCCCATGGTGTACGACGGCGGCGCCGGCAGCGCCGCCGCGGCCGCGGGACTGCGCGCGCTGCGCCAGGACGACTTTGTCACGGCCCACCCGTCGCTCAGCATCGTGGACTCGCTCAATTGGGCCGCCCGGGCCCAGGAGCACCTCAAGCTCCTCCAGGAGGAGGAGGAGGACCGAGCGGCGATGGCGGCCGCGGCGGCCGCGGCGGCCGCGGCCGCGGCGGCGGCGACGGCGGGAGCGTCGGCGTCACGTGAGCCGTCCGTCCAGGATATGGGCGAAGTGAACCGCGAGCCGGAGGCCGGCAGGATCGATGCCGGCGCCGAGGGTCGGTTCGCTCGCCTGGGCGGTGCCGCCGAGGTGGCGGACGACCCGGGGCCGGCCCCCGCGAGCGTCGCCGCGGGGGCCGCGCCGCGCGAGGTGGCACGGCCCAACGGCTCGGACGCGGCGCCCTGCCGGCGCGACGTCGGGGCGGACGCCGGGCCGCGCTGCGCCACCTGGCGAGGCGGCGGCGCCCGGATCGACGCTCGTGCGCCGCCGCCGCCGCCCCACGGACCCGAGGGCCCCAGCTGCTCACGGGTGGACGCCGGCGCCGGTACCGGGGCTGGAGAGGGCGACCGGGAGCGCGACGAGCGGGAGCGCGATCACTGCAGGGCCTCGGAGGCCGGCGGCGGCTCGAAGCAGCACGGGGTGAAGCGTGCGGCGGCGGGGCCGGTGGCCGAACCGCCGCCGCCGCCGCACGGCGTCGTCCCCCGCGTCTACTTCGGCGGCTTTGAAAACGGGACCAAGAAGAAGTTTAGAATTTCCGCTACGTCCGACTACAAGGCCGGGCTCAACTCCTACTGCAACAAGGTGCGCATCCGCCTAGAGCGCAAGGAGCCTCCGGCGCCGCGGACCCCGGACGACCCAGCCGCCCCGCCGCCGCTCGATGCCAAGCCGCCGACGTTGGCGGCCGCCGCCGCCGCCTCCGTAAGCGCGGGCGCCACGGGCCCCTCTCCCAGCAAGCGGCGGTACCAGCAGCAGAAGGTGAAGCTGTTGAAGCTGAAGAAGGGCGCCGGGCGGGGCAAGAAGCCGTACTCGCGGCCCAAGAAGACCAAGGAGCAGCTGTCGGTGCTCAAGAGCTTCTTCAGGGTCACGCAGTGGCCGTCGTCCGACGAGTACCTGGAGCTGTCGCTGCGCTCGGGGCTGCCGCGCTCCGACATCGTGCGCTGGTTCGGCGACACGCGCTTCGCCTTCAAGCACGGGCAGCTGCGCTGGATCCGGGACCCGATGCAGCACGCGGACGGCGCGGGGCCCGGCGGGGAAGCTCCGGCGGGGACGCCGGGGCCCGGGATCGGGCGCGGGGGGCGGGGGCGCCGCGGCGGAGGCCCCCGCTCCAGGGGGGGACGCGGGGGCCGCGGGGGCAGGGGCCGGGGCTGCAGGCGGCGCCGGGGGGTGCGGGGAGGGAAGGCGGCGGGAGGGAGAGGCGCGCGGGCCGAGTTCGTCGGTCGGAGGCACCTGCAGATACAGCAGCACCAGCAGCACCAGCAGCAGGAGCAGCAGCAGCAGCAGCAGCAGCAGCAGGAGCGGGCGTTCACCGTCGCGCAGCAGGAAGCGGAGCCGAGGCCGGGCGTGGGACGTGAGCTGCTGCCGGACCGGCGGGAGGGCGACGCGCCGGCGCCGCCCCGCGGCCGATTCCGCCGCTTCCAGAGGCGCGGGCGGCCGAGCCTGCGCCTCGGCAGAGAGCGGACGGTTCTTCGCGCTGCCGTCGAGGTCCCCGAGGTCGTCCAGGTCGCCGAGGTCGCCGAGGTCGCCGAGGTGGCGGAGGTCGCCGTGCCCCGCGACCCCGGCAGGGTCGACGTCTCCGGCGTCGTCGCGGACGGACGGCGCGCGCCGTTCTGCGTGGGACGCGCCGCCGCCGCCGCCGCCGCCGCCGCCGCCCCCGTCGCCGTCATCGCCGCCGCTGCGGGCCGCCGCGCCCCCCCGTCGCTCGACGCCGTGGAGGACGACCCCGAGAACAAGCTGCTGGAGCTGGCCGTGGCGGCCGAGATCAGGGAGCAGATGGCACGGGCGCAGAGCGAGGCGCTCGCGCGCGACGGCGCCGCCGCCGCCGCCGCCGCCGCCGCCGGGGCGGCGGCGCCGCACGATCTTGCGGGGGTCGCCGCCGTCGCCGCCGCGGCCGCCGCGTTCCCCTGCCGGGTCGAGCTGCGGAGCGTCCCGCACGCCTGCGACCTCTGAAGACCGGAGGAGGACTGGCCGCGGGCCCTTTGCGCGGGGGGTGCCACGTGTACATACGCGGCTTCGCTCGTCCGTCGGAGCGCGCTCGCTCGCTCGACCTCGCTCGACCTCGGGACGCAAGACCCGGAGCCCGCGACTCGGAGGCAACGGCGGGGAAGGGGGGTGAGGGGGTGGGGGGGGTGGGGGGGAGCTTTCGGGGGAGGAGAGGGGGGGGGGGGGCGGAACTTGGCAGAGGAACCGCCTCGCTCATTACCAACACGCAGCGCATCTGCATGTTGTCATAGAAACGCTAGCGGGGGTACAGTTTTCAAGCTAATATATACGTGTGTGTATAATCCGCGCGATGAGATTACGAGTAGAGAATGTACTGTAGCTGCACCCCACGCGGAATACGGCAGTGGAGGTGCCCCCCCCCCCCCCCCCCCCCAACCACTTCCCCCCCGAGCAAGGCGATGGACTAATCGGTGGCGCTGGGTGTGTGGGGTTCCGGCCACGGTGGCCCCGAGTGATCCACCGTCCCCAATCCGGAGGAGGACCCCACCGAGCAGGGCCGCCGGGGACGAGAGGTCGAGAGGTCGTGTAGGGGGCGACCAACTGGGGTGGTGCGGTGGGGGGGTGGGGGGAGGTGGGGGGGGGGGGGGGCATGGCGCCCGCGTTCGCCGTCCCGGCACCGCCGCGTCTCCCGGTGCCGCCGGGCGGGCGTGCAGGCCGACTGTTTCCGCCGCGTCGTGTCCCCGCTGTACATTTCCTCGCGCTTTCAAAACGGAGTGAACGACGCGCGGTTGCGGCTGCGTGCGATGAGGGCGCGGGCATCTGGATGAGTCGCAGCGACGGGCCGGGCCGGGCCGCGGAGGGCGCGAGGTCGGGGGGGGGGGGGGTGGGTGGGGGGGGGGGCCTTTCGAGCGAGGTGCGAGCGCTTCGCGCAATCGCCGGGCTTCCAGCCGGACGCGGGGGAAATCGCTTCGTCGTACAGACCAAGTCGGCGTTGGCGCGCCGCTCGTGGTCCACGGCTTCCCCGACGAGCCGACCCCCGACGCTGAAACGATCCGTTGGCGTCCCCCGACCCTCCCGCCCCCGTCGATACGTCTCCCAACGTCCACGGCGAAAATAAACCGCGGCGATCCGAGCGCCGGCAAGCTTGGCGCGACCCGGCCACGGGTCGCCCGCCGGCTTCGGCGGACCGAGGGCGGCCCTCGCTCGGTGGCCGGGCCCGCGCCGGAGCGGCCGATAGCTTCCGCGGTTTTGACGACGGGGCTCGAGCAAAAATCGTCGCGTTTGCCGTGGCTCGCGACGCGGCTGACTTTGGCGCGCACGCGCGAGTTCACCGACGCTGTCCGCAAGCTGCGCCGGACGTCGTGGACGTCGTGGTCGCCGCGATGCATGACGTCGCGACGCATCGTCTCCCACGCTGGCGAAACAGATGGGGTCACCCTGCGAGGCCTTTTGCTGACCCTCGGCGTACGCGGGCGGCGATGAGATCCCGGAGGCGTCACGGCGGTGTGTCGCCTTCTCCTCAAGAGGGCCTCGCCCGGGCCCCACGACTCGATCTAAGGAGAGGGGGGTCCTGCATCGGGACGTTTGGCCAATCCCCTGTTCTTTAAGGGAGCCTTTTGTGTTGTCCATGTTCTCAAGTTCTTTATTTGATTGAACCGTGATTGTTACTCGAACAAATATGTGCCAATTGGGAGCCCAGTGATGCCGGGCGATGAGACCCCGAGTCGCTGAGTCCCTGTGACCCCGGAGTCCCTGTGACCCCGAGTCGCCTGGGCGGCGAAGGGGGCCGCGTCGCTTGCCCTGGGGTGGGGCCCGAGCAGCATCAGAGGGTTGAGCGCGAACATTCCAGTGGGCAGGGAGGGAGGGAGGGGGGCAGAGGGCAGGGAGGGAGGCGCGACGCCCAGGCTCGAGTTGCCGGCTGCTCCCTCCTGGCACCCTCCTCCTCCTTCCCCCCTGCCCCTCCCACCATGACCACCACCCCCCCTCCCCTCTCTCCTGCTGCCTCCTCTTGTCACCATTCTGCCACTTCCGACTGCCTCCCACCCCACCCCCCGTCTCTTCCCTCAGTCCTGCTACCCTCCCGCTTCCCCTGATCACCTCCTCCTGCACGCTCCCCTGATCACCTCCTCCTGCACCCTCCCCTGATCACCTCCTCCTGCACCCTCCCCTGACCCCTCCTCCTGCACACTCCCCTGATCACCTCCTCCTGCACCCTCCCCTGATCACCTCCTCCTGCACCCTCCCCTGATCACCTCCTCCTGCACCCTCCCCTGATCACCTCCTCCTGCACCCTCCCCTGATCACCTCCTCCTGCACCCTCCCCTGATCACCTCCTCCTGCACCCTCCCCTGATCACCTCCTCCTCTCTTCTCCGCTCCCCCAATCTTCCCACTCGCTCGCTTCCGTCATCGCTCCTCTCCCCTCCCCCTCCTCCCCCCCGCCCTTGCTCCGTCCTCCCCTTGCCTCTCCCCCCCCCGCCGGCCCCCCTCCCTTCCTCCCTCCCCACCCGAGCGTAGCTCCGCGTGGGCCCCGCGCATTCCGCGCGGATTTCAACCAAAGTCGCGCTATTGTTAGCGGCACCCTCCGTGGGGGGTAGTGGCGTGGTGGGGGGGGGGGGGTTAGAGGGTGGGGGGGGGTTAATGGCGCCGTCTCCCATGAGGGGGGGGGAGGGGGATTAGAGATCGTCCCCATTCATAAAACTCGCAGGTGACGTCACTCCGATAGCGACAGGCTGCAGGGGAAGATGGGTGCGGGGTGGGGGCTGTGGGTATGGGATGAGAAGGGGCGGGGGAGGCGGCAGGGTGCAGAAACCGCGATGCAAACTCCCTCCGCTGCCCCCCCCCCTCCACGCTGCGCCCCCTCCGCTGTCGCCGAGGTCATGGACTTCCCAGACGGCGACGCGCGCGGTGCTTCATCGGTGCGGCTCGAGGGGCGATTCCCCCCCCCCCCCAGAGAGACGCAGCAAGTACCACCAGGGCGGGGGGGGGGGCTCCACGCGGGGAGACGAGCGGCGTGGGTGGGAGTGGCGGGGGGAGGCTCCCATACGAGACGAAAGGGAACGCGATTGTGTGGTCGCGTCGTCACTCGGAATTCGTGACAGTGACATCGCCGGGGTCGGGGCTCGGTGGATCCGGGACGTGCGCTCAGCGCGCGGCCCGATGCGTGACCCCCCCGTCTCACTGGGGGCTTTTAAGGGAGGGGGCGGGGGGGTGTGCAGGGAGGGAGGAGGGCTCTGTGAGCTGCCAGGAGCTGTTTATAGGAGGAATGAGAGCGAGAGGAGGAGGAGGAGGGTGGAGAGAGCGAGAGGGAGGAGGATGGAGGGCTGGCCGCTGCCGAGGCTGCAGAGGGAGCCGAGACCACGTCTTTGTTTAAACGCGAACATTCGTCTCCCTGCGCCCTCCGCATTCCCTCCCCGCACGAGGAGAAGGAAGCGGCGGCGGGAGGAAAATCCCCGTTGTAGAAATCATGGGAAGGTCCCCGGACCTCGCCTTTCGTGCGGTCTCAGCGATGCCGCCCGCCTTGCGACTTTTCTTTGAATTCGCAGCAGCAGCAGCAGCAACGAGAGAGACGAGAAGCCACCGCCGCGATTCGTCGTCTGCTTCTGTCTCATCCATCACAAAGCTCCGCGTTACTCAGTGTTTATATCAGACATCCACGCACGCTCGACTGTTAGAGAGCTAGAGCTTCCGCGGAGTTCCCGGAGGGGAGGGGCGGGGGGCAGGGGAGGAGGGGTATGGAGGGGGGGGGGGCACCAGCAGGGTACCCCCCCCCCCCCGTATCCCCCACACTCTCTCCCCCTCCGGACCCCGTGATTCTGTCAGCAACAATAAACGGTGATTAACCCGAGCGGTCGCGCCCTGCCTCCCATACTCTGTGTGTGTGTTGACCACCGGGGAGCGGTGGCGCAGTGGTTGGCGCACTGCACGACGACCCCGTGCCGGCACCCAGAAGTTCTCGCGAACAGGATCTTGCCCCCGGCAGCTTGTGTCGTCTATATAGGGGGTCTTTGTATTTGTTTAACAATTGGAAGACAAAGGCGGCCGGGCCTGGCGCTTGGCCACACTACCTTGCTCACGAACAGCACTTACCCCAACAGTCTGTTCAGGCCGTGGGGGGGGGGGGGGGGGAGGGGGGGGGATTTTGTGTATGGGGAGTGGTGGCGCAGTGGTTAGCTCTACGAACCGAGTTCGATTCCTGCTCACGGCCAACAACAATGATGAATGTCTGAACATCAGAACCGGCCCTGTGCCTCCTCTAGGTCGACTCAACCTTCTAACTGATCCGGTAGGTTCGTATTACCAGCGGGAAGACAATGGTGGACACAGTGCTCCCTCGTGCGCTGTTCCGGCCTTCATAGGTGCTCGCTAACAGCACTTGCCCGAACCGCCTGTGGAGGCTACACGGGGGAGCTGTGTCTGTGTGCACCTGTCAATCATCCTCGTTGATCAACCCATGGCACCTGGGTCGTCACGTGACCTGCCCGCAAGCCTTCCACACTCCACCCGACAAGCCTCAAGGTGCACGTAGCCTGGCACAAGCACGGTGGTGACGTCACCGCCATTCGGTTGAGAATGGCGGCTGTTAACTGATATACAGGGATACCCCTGGGTCTACTCGGCCTTAAATTGCAGGATGGAACTGTGTGTTTGAAGCGGTGACGCTGTGAGCTATGCAACCAGCCATCTCAGGACCATAATATGTATTTAGACGGGGGGAATCCGATGAGATATAAAGCTTTTTTTCACATGTCCGGTAGACATAGGAGTTTGAATCCCTGCTAGGGCTAGCACCAGTGCCATCTGAACCGGTCAGAGGGCTCTTCCCCTCCCCCCAACCCAAGGCTGACTCAGTCTAAAATTAGTACCTGGGTGCAGTGTGTTAACATCAGCACTGGGAAGACAAAGGCGGCCGGTGGTGATACTGGCAACACCAGTGCATGTCGGTAGCTGATCGCAACGCTTTCCCCAGACAGTTCCTTTGCAGTTGGCTGTGTGTGTGTGTGCCCC